CTCTATCACTAAATGCTTAGATTATTACTCAAGTAATCAGACCTTATTTAGATGTAAAAATTTATCTTTTTTTCTTTGGACTAACATGCACTAATGAATCATTCACAATACGGAATGTGCATTAGAAAAGTAAATAAATTCACTTTTAATTTCATGCTGCCTTTGAAATAATATATACAGTATATGCTTTAGACATTATAGACACAACAACCTTGATATCAGGTTCAATACTGTGCTAATGGACTTGTGCTCACTAAAATGCTGTAGGAATTAAGTGTACTTGCAATATTCATTGTATATAAAATGTAGACGCTCAACAGTATCTTGCTCAATCTTTCTTTTTATGGCATTAAAACAACATTTACTCAGCTCAAACTTCTGAACAGTAGTGTATCTAATGCAGTAATCAGTAACTGCTTAGATTATTACCTAACTAATCAGACCTATGATTTTTGGCTTGACTGGATGGAAAAAGATGTCTCTTGTTTTTCTTGTTTTCTTCAGCAATGATGAATCCTTCAGAACAAGACCAAGAATGTGCATTAAGGAAGAAACAACCTTGATATCAGCTTCATTACTGTGCTAATGGACTTGTACTCACTAATACTTGCAATATTCATTGTAAATAAAATTGAGATGCTCAGTATAGTCAGTAACTATGCAAATCTCTCTTCTTTGAGGCATTAAAATGACTGAAAACCAGCCAAGTAAGTACTTGCATAAAGTTACCAGTCACTCATTATTTATTTACTCACTTAACTTGCACTAGCAAAAGAATTCGCCTTTGGCAATTAGAGAGGTGTATATATATCCTCAATTCCAAAACCTACTGAGCTGCATTCACAGGGAATGTTTTAAAACACACTCCAAAAAATAATCTGCAGCATTATGATGACTTCTAAGATGCCCGTTCAGCCAAAAACATCACAAATATCCTACGGGGAGAATGCACTGCAACAAGCTTTTATCTATATTCTAGGTGTTGTTTGTCTATTATTTACATTTGGCTTCTTTTAGGCTCATTAGTCATCAAATCCTCTGGAAACTCCACAGATGTTATGAAGGTTGCAGGTACAGACAGGCAGCTTTTTTATCTCACCGAGCACCAGAGCAGCTCACAGATCAGAGTTTCAAATCATCTCAAGTTTACTTAAGTTCTGACGTGACCAGGCAGCTGTCTATGCAAGGCAACTCACTGAGTTTCCAAACAGAGCCATAAAAATAAGAGCGAATCGATGACAAACAACAGCAAGAGCACCTTGCTGCTGCTCCCGATCGGCCCGACGGCAGCCTTGAGACGCGGACTGACTGAAGACATCATGTGATCGCAGTACATGTCATGCTTATGAGCGTGAAACTGCAGGCAAGATGGATGGTGGGCTATAAATTAGGAGTCAGCGTGCTGCAGTGGGTGCTCTCGCTCTCTCTCACAAGCCCACTAACAAACCTCCATGCTTCTGTCAATCAGACCGAGTCTCAGCGGACTGTTCATGAGTCTCATTCATACTGCACACAACAGTGGTAAAGCTCAGAGAAATGACCGGCTGCAATCTGATTATCTGGCTTTAATACACTTTCAGAGTTTAGAGGCTTTCTTTTTGTAGAAAACCATGATATTGATGACATCAAATTGTTTGCATGATTTTGCCTTTTGACAAAAAGCCGTTGAATCCAATAGACTGCATATTTTTTCAACAGAATGCAATACTAAATAATTCAAAAGTAATAAAAAAAAAACAAAAATCAAAATAAATTCAAAAATGAAAAAAAAATGAAAAAACTAATATACTGAAAAGGCTGTCAGACTGACATTTAAAATGATGCAATATATAGGCTACACATATATACATATATAATTTTTCGATATTGAATCGATTATATTGAAAATATTCTGTATATATATCTTGCATTTATAAAAAATATATAAAAAATGAAAAATTTAATAAAATGACACAAAGTATATATATATATATAGCTGTTTTTGAAAAATTATATATGTATATATTAGTAAATATAAAATATTTATATATATTATTTTTAATACATATAATTAAAATATTTTTTTTGTATTTACACAACAATTAAGTATAGTACAATAAATATACAAAATAATATTACATTACATTTACATTTAGTAATTTAGCAGACACTTTTATCCAAAGTGACAAACAATATAGTAAACAATATTTTTATATTTAAAATAAAATAGATGCAATTTTACAATACTTTATGATTTTTGTGCTTTTAAAAAAATATACTGGTATATCTATATATTCAATACAATCTATAAAAAATATATACCCATTTATTTAAAAATATTACACACACACACACACACACACACACACACACACACAGGTTTGTTTTTGTGAATTGTGGGGACTCTCCATAGGCGTAATGGTTTTTATACTGTACAGACCGTATATTCTATTGCCCTACACCAACCCTACCCCTAAACCTACCCCTCACAGGAGACTTTCTGCTATTTCAGATTTTCAATACACTCCATTCTGTGTGATTTATAAGCGTTTTGAAAAGTGGGGACATGGGGTAATGTCCTGAAAAGTCACCTTCTCCTTGTAATACCTATGTCATACCTTTGTCATTATACAAATTTATGTCCTCATCTGTCACAAAAATGCGCGCGCACACACACACACACACATATATATAGGAAGAGTTTAAATGCAAAAGCCTCTAGGTGCCGCCTGAAATTTTCTTCTAAAATGAGCATTGTTCTCAGGCTCCTATATTTAGGTTCAGTTATTTCACTTTAATGGCGAAGAAAAGAACCTATTCATTGCCATTAAAGTGAAATTACTGAACCTACACATGAGAGCCTGAGAACAATGCTCATTTAAGAAGAACATTTCAGATGGCACATAGGTGCTTTTGCATCTAAACTCTTCCTATATATATATATATATATATATAATGAAATAATTTTACGTCAGGCAGCCAGCCTTGGCATTTGAGGACATTTGTTGAAAGAAGTAAAAAAAAAAAAAAAAGGTTTGTCGAATGGAACAGTTTTTTTAGTCAGAATAAGCTACACTGTGAAGCTCAGCTTTATGCTGATAGTCAAAAGTCTGGCTTCGCAAGACCAGAATAAAGAGCCGACAGAAGCAGTGAGATGGAAACTGCATGTACGTGCCAGAAGAACAAATACAAATTGATTCTTCATGTCGTAAGAGTGATTCTGCATGAAGAAATTAGTAGATTTCAATATTCCTGACTATAAAACGGTTTTCAAATGCCAATGTGGTTTGTGTTGACAACATCATCTTGTCGTTTTGACATTCTGTTCCTTTTAAAGCGACTGACTGTGTCACGACCTCAGTGTAACGGTCCATTATAGCTCCAGTCCACGGCAGCGGCGAAACCCGATCCAATCTGTGCCAAAATACTCCCTCCATACTTCAGCACAGATCCAATTATCAGATTGGCTCCCAGCACAGAAAGAGCTGACCACACGGTTATCTGAAACGCCTAATGGCTTCCAATCAAATGTTTAATTCAAACAGCAGCTTTATTGCATGGTACCTTTCCACATTATCCAGGTTCCCGGCCACTCCGAGTCCTCCGATGGTGTAAAGCTTGCCGTCATACACCACGCTGTTGTGCCGGCACCGCGGGACTGTCATCCGAGACACCAGATTCCAATTATCCAGCAGAGACATGTAGCACCACACGTCAGCCAGCGTGACTCCAGACTCAATGCCTCCTAAAGAGGGTACAAGCCCAAACAAATGAGCGCTGAAGTCTCCATTTACACCCTCCAACATCACACCTCCATTAATACACAGCTGATGAAAAGACAGAAACACATAAATTCAGCTTTAGCTGCTTCCAGAAACATGTATCAGTGTCCATTTTAGTTTACTTTAGAGAAACAGACAGATATTTATAATATAAAAGTCTAATATTTATAAATCTAATTATATAAGAAATCTCCATGAATTTAATATTGTTATATAAATATAATATGTATATTATATAAACAAATCAATGTAAGTTTATATTTTTCTATTTTTATCTTTATATTGATATATATAAACATTTGTTTTATTTTGTAATATATATATATATATATACATATATATTTTTTGTAATAAAAATATCTATATATATTATTTTATAAAAATATATATATTTTTATAAAATTTATTTTATTTATTTTTCATTTAAATACAAATTTAATATTATATAAGCAAATCAATACATCTTCACATCTTTTATACAACTCTTTATATAGTTTTCTCTGCATTAATTTAGGAATTTTTTTATTCTGTTCACATTTTCTGTGGTGTGACATGCTAAAAACTTAATGTAAAAAAATGTTTAACAGTATTTTTCTATTTCTTTTAAAGTTATTCATGTGGATTTTGTGAGCTCATATTAATTGAAAGACTGCATGGAATATTTGTCACATGCCAGGATCATTTAAAATAAATTACAGAAGGAAAATGTAATTTAAAAATATATAACAGCAACTAAGTCATACACTTTCCTTTTTACGATTATAATAAATGTAATCTAAAAATCTTGATGTCCATGGATGTGTTATGCACTACTCATATACAGTTTTCACTCACAAATTGCCGCTGCAGCTTTAGAAGCGTCGTCTTTAATGTGCTATTGATTTTATCCTACTTGATTTGTGGGATATTTAACATCATAATTTGACACACAGCCAGTCGCAAAGACAGAGATGAGGAACAGCCATCTGCCTTCCCATCATCCCTCAAAGCGTGAGCTGCTAAATATAAAAGCAGACACCTGCGAGTGGCCACCAAACTGCAAGTGACACACTGTCGGCTTGATTACCTGACAGGTAGATATTATCCCCCGCCGATATGACGGAGAAGAACTCGCGGTTGTAGAAAGGCAGGCTGGCCAGGGGGTACCACTTGTTGTTCTGAGGGTTGAAGCAAGTGACGACTGTCAGCGAGCGCTGGTTCATACCGATGACCTGCCGCCCACCCACCAGCACGATCACCTCAGCGACACCTGCGGAGACGCACGGAGAAACAAACACCTTGACATTCACAGAAATAACCTGCTCAAAGCAACACATCGGACCAGATTACACTGCACGATGGACTGAGCTGCTCTGTTACTGGTGCAAGCTGGGTGTTTGTGAGGGTTATAATGGGTGACCAGGCAAAACCAGCTGATACTGTCAACATATTTACACTAGCAGTCAAAAGATTGAATAATAATAAAGATTTTTTTTTATATGTTTGAAAGAAGATATAAAAATATCGTCAGTAAGGCTGCATTTATTGAATCAAAAATACAGTAAAAACAGTAAAATTGTGAAATATTATTATTTCACAATTATTATTATTACAATTTAAAATTGCAGTTTTCTATGTGAATATATGTTAAAATGTCATTTATTTCTGAGAGTCAAAGCTGAATTTGACCGTCAACATATTTACACTAGCAGTCAAAAGATTGAATAATAATAAAGATTTTTTTTAATATGTTTGAAAGAAGATATAAAAATATCGTCAGTAAGGCTGCATTTATTGAATCAAAAATACAGTAAAAACAGTAAAATTGTGAAATATTATTATTTCACAATTATTATTATTACAATTTAAAATTGCAGTTTTCTATGTGAATATATGTTAAAATGTCATTTATTTCTGAGAGTCAAAGCTGAATTTATCATCATTACTCCAGTCTTCAGTGTCACATGATCCTTCAGAAATCATTCTAAGATGCTGATTTGCTGCTTGAGAAACATTTCTGATTAATTATAATTAATGTTAAAAACATTTGTGGTGCTCCATATTTTTGTGGAAACCAAATATATGAAGGGATAATAGAAAGCTCAATAGAAATCTTTTGTAACATTATAAATGTAATTACTGTCACTTTTGATCAATTTAAAGGGATAGTTCACCCAAAAATGAAAATTCGGTCATTAATTACTCACCCTCATGATGTTCCAAACCCGTAAGACCTCCGTTCATCTTCGGAACACAAATTAAGATATTTTTGATGGAATCTGAAATCTCTCTGACCCTCCCATAGGATTCTTACACGATCAAGGTCCAGAAACGTAGCAAGGAGATCGGTAAAATAATAAATGTGTAAAATGTGACATCAGGGGTTCAACCGTAATTTTACGAAGCTACGAGAATACTTTTCGTGCGCGAAAAAACAAAAAAAACGACTTTATTCAAATTTGTCTCCTCCACGTCACTCTATAGCGCCATTTTGGAGAATATCCACTGAACGTAAACCGTTCAGATATAAACCGTTGGCGTTTGCGGTCCAGGACCGCAAACGCCAACGGTTTATATCTGAACGGTTTACGTTCAGTGGATATTCTCCAAAATGGCGCTATAGAGTGACGTGGAGGAGACAAATTTGAATAAAGTCGTTTTTTTTGTTTTTTCGCGCACGAAAAGTATTCTCGTAGTGTCTATGGGAGAGCTCTCGGGATCAGGGCCGTAGCCAGCTATAAGGTCCGGACCTCGGTAAATTTTTCATGTTCAAAAATTCAAAAATAACCCTGAATGACTAACTTGCTGTTAAACTCCTCATATGAATGTCTGCATGTATAATTCAGTTTAATTCAGAATGTTTAGCGTCTGTGGTATAAAAATGATCACTGCGAGATCTTGAGAGAGTTGTGAGTGAGGGCGCGGGCGCGGGCGCGGGCGCGGGCGCAACCTCCGTGTTGATCCAGCTATAA